GCCTGCTTTGGAAGGTGACAGACTGCTCCGTCAGAGGGCTTGTGTGGTCGGTGTCTGCTGACTGTGCTGTGGGTGTGGGCCTTGGACTAGAAGGTAGGGCTGTAGAACCCTGAATCTTCCCTGGAGTCTGAGAGCTGTCTGTGGGCATCCTGGTCCATGCTGAGCCAGGGCTGCTTGGGAAGGCAGTCGAGGATTCAGGCCCGACTGTGATTTGGGAGCTACCAGAGTGTGTGAATGTGCTTGCTGCTGGTGAGCTCTGGGCAATGGGTGTTGCTTTTTCACTTCGGACTGTGGTTTGTGAGCTGTCAGTGGACTCCATTGTGGGTGCCTCACCTGAGCTCCCCGGCATGGCAGTCGACCCCTCCTTCAGTGGCGTGCTGTGAGTAGTAAAGAATGGTGCGTTCGTGCCTTCTGAATCTGTGCTGCCTGGGGAGGACGTCAGTCCGTTGACCTGTACTGTGGTTGGGGCACCATCTGGTGACACTGTACTGGGTATGGATCCAGGGCTTGTTCCAAAATCTGTAGGTGCTCCTGAAAGAATGGTGATCCGTGTGGGCACTGTGGCATAGTCTGGAAAAGGGCTGCTCAGCCCTGCTGTGGACAGCTCTTTCACGGCTGCACTATGTGAGCTGAAGGTGGAGGGGGTAGCCTGAGCTGAAGTAGGGCTTCCTTGGAGTGCTGTGGATGCTTCAGAAGGCACAGAAGTTGTCCAGATGTGTACCGGGTCTGGGGAGTGTGCAGATTCTGAGGTTGTTTCCATTGTGGTTGGAGCCTCTGTGGTGCCTGTGTTCTCAGAGGTTTGTGATGGACCTGCTGTATATGCTGAGCTTGGGCTGCTTGGAAAGCTTGTGGAAGCCTCACTGAGAACTCTGGGTGGGGCTGTGTCAGATGTCACTGTCGTGTGTCCTGTTCCAGGGATGTTCGGGAAGGCTGTGGATCCGCCACGCAGGGCTGTGATATGGGAGGTGTCAGGTGCAGTAGCTGTGTGCACTGAAGATGTGCTCGGCGAGGATGCTGTAGGTCCCGCAGTCTGGTCTGTGGGTTGGGAGCTGAAA